AACGTGGATTATGCGGCTAATCGTATAGCTCTCTCTTGTCCACTACCTTTGACAAGACCAGCCACGCAAGCTGTGCAGAACACAGATAAGCTTGGCTGCATCGAACGGCGAAGCCGAACACAACTTATCCTGAACGGTGACATCGGCTCACAGAAGCCGATCCATCCGGGATATTACGGCGTCTTGCAGACAGCCACGCAGTGCGTCGTTACGACGTAACCACCGCCGTTTCGCTAACCCGCAGGTCAACGAAATCCTGTCGAGAACGAGCTTAGGCTTAACCAGTCGTAATCGTTACAGTTGCCATTCGTCTTTTCCTCCACATGTCACGAGCCATTCTGAAGCCTTGTGGCCCGTTCTTCTCATGCACGGCCCTCAAAAGCACATCAGATTTACAATCATATCTTGTTCGGCATGATTGGCAAGGATGCGCAACCCATGGCAGTCTAGAAAGATCATTAATATGGTACTTGCGTCGAGCGTCCTGGGTGGTCAAACTGTCCAAAAGAGCATATCTCGCGTCGATACAGTGAATGCAAACGATTGCTCCAAGATGAGGGGAAAGTGGCCATTGAAAGCAGTAATTGATCCGTTTGCAAATCGTGCACTCTTGATTTGGCCGTGCTTTACTGCACAGATGCGGCCCGAGCGACTCGGACAGGCTTTGAGATTGGAAGGGGTATTCGTCAACTGTGCATCCAAGGAAAGCATGGGCATCTCTGCACGTAGAGGCGGAAGCGGCCAGACCTTGGAGATCAAGCTTCCCGTTCCCCGCGATGATGCTCAGCACGGAAGCAAACTTTTCGTTGAGGTCCATGGCGTTGGTATGAGGCTTTGAAAGAAAACGACCGATTTGTACGCAGCAACCGACCGACTTTTTTGATTCCGTGTTTGCAGAAAGATGGGGTCTTCAACTTCTCCGGCACCAACCTTATCTCGCACGGCCTCCTTCTAAGAAAACACTTTGCCGCCGCCCTTGGAGCAGCACACAGCCTCAACTTTGAGGCCGGAGACATGGCCACGAGGTGCCTCGACGGGCCGAACGTCCCTCGACTGGACGATCGGGTATTCGACTCGGCTATGCAAGCCTTCAACGACCTGGCCGCCCGACCTCGGATCCAGCACGTCTGCTCGCGCGTCGACTGCGCGCACCTCTACACGTGTGAGGTGGAGATGGCGGAGGCGGAGGCTCGGATGGCTGGCACCCCCCTGAGGCCGGAGCGAACGGAGAGGCCGAGCTCCGAGCTGTCGACCTACGCTTTTGGGCGGGACAAGGTCGTCACCTTCGACGGCACCTTCTTCGCCAACTCAAGCGCGATGCGAGACTCTGAGACGGAGGCATCTCTGCACAGCATCTGCGAGCCGGATCCAGGAGCACCGAGGGTTGCTGGGGGCTTCACTCCTCTTAGCGTTGGCGGGGTGCGGCCATCTGACGTGCCGTTGGAGGGGATCGACTGCCCTTGGAAGTACCGGAACGGCCTCTCAAAGCTACGGCCGGCAATACGGGCGCTGGCGCTTCGTTGGTGCAACTTTCGCAAGGCCCCGGCCCAAGGGAGCAACGCGCCTTTGATGACGGAGGAGTTCGTCGCCATGCGGGAGAGGCTTCCGGCCAACGTTGCCGCTCTGGTCGACCTCGTGACCGAGTCGAGGGCTTGTGCGGACCCCGCCACGTGTGCCGTCTGCCAGGGGGTCCCGAGGCGGCCCTGGATGCAGGGGTTTTTTAAGGATGGGCCGGTGGGGCCGACCGGTTGGTGCCCCACGCACTTCCAGCCGTATGGAGCCCTTCTCCACGCGCTGCTCATCCTTCGCTACTCGTGGGTGTTTGGGCGCATTGTCACCCTGAAGTTGTTGAGACACGTGTTGCTGGAGGGGCCTCTCGATGCGCGAGGGATGGCATTTCTCTCCAACGACGGCCCCATGTTGGCGGCCGTCCTGCGCCTCTATCCAATCGCCGGCGGACAGTACGCCTTTCCGGCGGCGCTCCGCCCACTTGTGCGCGACATCTATGCCACGAACCTCCTCTGCTTTGAGCCGAGTGCAAACCGACCGGGTCCGGCCTTGCGATCGCCACTGGCCGCCCTCCATGATGCGACCGAGCACCTCTGGGCAACTGAAGGCGAGAAGCTGAGGCTTGCGGGTCAGCTAGAGGGGGCGGCCATGGAGTATGCCGAGCAGCGTGGGGCGGCATTGAAGGGGGCGGCCAACTCGCTCCTGTTCGAGCTCGAAGTTCGAGAGCCCCAGTGCTACGAAGAGGGCGGCTTCCTTCGAGCGCCGTCGGCGACTTACACGGAGCGGGTCGCCGCTGTCTCGACCTACTCCTTCCACCCCCTGCTTTACGGCCGGCCTCGATTCGTCGATTGGGAGGATGAGGAGGGCCGCGGAAAGAAGTCGACGGAGGAGCGGCTCGCCCAACACTGCAGCACGCCCAATCCGCGATCGTCCAAGGGCCGTGCCGGGACATTTATTGCGTGCTGCCAAGACCGGGCGCCCCTTGACTTCCACTGGCTCAAGGGCGGCGAGTCGGTGTCGGACCTTGGTACGGTGCTCCTGACGCGGTTTCCATTCAAGACGCTGCGGGGCATGACCGTCGTGGAGGACGCTTCGTGCAACGCGCAAGAGTGGTTGCTGAACCGGGTGCCCCAGATGGCCAAGTATGTCTGTTTTGTTGTAGATAGATTCCATAGTGGGCCCGTGAGCTGCGCTCCATCCGGGGCGAAGCGCTATGCGACGCACACATGCGCGCCGACGCTCTTCATCGACTCTTTTTTGCAACACTGCCACACGATCACGACGGCCTCGGAGGGCATCAACTCTGGGCTGAAGAGGTGCACGGCGAGCCTTCAGCAGATCACGAGCATCAAGCGGCTGTTGAGCAGAGTCACCACAATCCTCGACACGTTGTTTTCAAGAGCGATCAAAGTACGCAGTGTACTTGAGCAATACTAGCAATCCTTTGAAAGACTCGATCAAGAGGGGGCGCTGTTGAGGTTGTTCTGTATTACTCTATTACTCATTACCCACCGCCTCAAGTTCCTTTTGAGTTTTAACATCTGTCATGTGGTGAGGAGTGCACAGTTAGTATTTCATATTTGTAAAAACAACGGGTAATAGGGTAATAGGGTAATAGGGTAATAGGATGTATGGTTTAAGGGTTCATTCATGGGTACTGTCATGTGTGTGTGTGTGTTGTAAGAAGGGTAATCAGAGGGTAATAAGCTATTTGGTACTCAAGCTCTTTGAGAAGAATCATCTTCTGGTCTATCCTGTGTTAATACTTCTCCGTCCTCACCTCGCCTCACCGCCCACACATGACGGTTCGAGCAGAACGAGCACTTCTGATCTGCAACGGATTGTCGCGACCCTTTTGAGGCATCGACCAGCTCTTGAAGAGCTGTTGGCTCTGTCATCCATGGCCCTTCCTTATCTTCAACGTAGTCGACTCGTTGCCACGTGTCCACCCACTCCACGGTGGAGCTCAGAAGCTTGCCTTTATGGAGAGCCTCGCAGATTGCGCCCTGTGGGGCAAACCACCATCCCTTGTGGGTTCGAACCCCCTGAACGGAGCGTGCCTGCGGTCGCATCTTGAAAACGGCATTCAGAGAGCGCATCAAGAGGTTGACGTCGGAATGGCGGTCTTCTTTGATATCCATCTGATACAGGAACGTGTCATAAGTCCGCTTGATGTCTGTCGATGCTACCCATGTCTCCAAAGAAGGGTGAAAGCACCCGTTCTCGAGCAGAGCTTGCATCATATTCACATGTGGTGGAATCGAATGTTCCTTCAATGTAACGGTACGGAGGTCCGAGTGCTCTACCGTCGAGCTACGACCCAAAAAGGTGATTCACTTTT